GAAAAAACAAATATACGCGATTTAAATCCGGAAAAATTGTTTCATTTCCTACAGACAGTAAGTTTCGAAAATAAATAGCAATTGATATTTCACTGTTAAATTCTGTCTGACTTTCAAATTAAATGGTTAAGCTAATCACAGTCACAGATTGACCATCATATGGTATATATGACTCAAATCCATACAGAATAAAGCTAAAATTAAAAGTTAAAAACCTCAATACAACTTCAATAACAGTGTACACAAAAAGTCAGTAAAACAAGTTAACAACTCTTTGAGAGCAATTTGCAAGCCGAAATACGATAGTTCTACTGCATGGAGAAGGGTAGTCAAGCAGACTGATCTTTTAAATTTTTTATTTTTATTTTTGGTTATTTATGATAAAATAAGTGCACATTCGCTAACTAGTTTCTCACATATGGCGCTGCGGTAAAAATAACCGTTTAAATCTAACACAAAAGTCTGCAACGGGCACATAGAAAAGTTCGTAAGACTGGATCTGTGGCCCAGTTGGTAAGAGCGGTAGCCCCGGTTCGGCAAACAAACGCTGCTTCGAGTCGAGTCAGATCGCAAAGATTTTTTCTTTGCGTTTATTCGACTTTTGTATCAATAATAATTACAAACTAGTTGACTTTACTACGTGTACGCATGGAGTATGTACTAGGTTAAAAGACCTGTGTTACAGATCACCAGGCTCACTCGTTCTAGGTCTAAAGAACGTTGTTATCCGATTATAACTTTTATCTACAGTGTCTTGCGCGACAAAAACTAATTGCAACTCGTAAGTCAGTTCTGTTTGTCGAACGATGTACGTATAACGTATGCAGCGCCCTCAAATTTTTATTTATTAATTGTGCAAATTGCGGTGGAGGAGAACGATTACCTCTCAATTAAGAGGTCGATATGAAACTATTTACCCGGATTTAAATCGCGAATTTTTTTTTTCAAACAAACTAACTTTTTGGACCCTTTACAGGTCCCATGGTCACAGTTGCCTGAGTTGGTGAAGTCATCAACCAGTTATGTCTAATATTAATGGAAACCACCCTATTTTTTCCACTATACTTACAAAAGTTTTTTTTATTTATTTTTACCTTTTACAACTATCATTACAGGTATAACCTAATACAACAGTGTAGTTATTAAAAACCTTGTTTATATTAGCTGATTTGTTTGAGAAAACAAATATACGCGATTTAAATCAGGAAAATTAGTTTCATTTCCTATGTGTAACAATCAGAGATCGACGGTTCGAATCTCTAAGGCTGAAATGTATGACTTCAAGGGAAACATCGTGAACACAACATCGCTTCGAAGAAGGATCATAGCCCTTTAGCATTTTTTGCTAATATGTAGCTTTCTGCTATTTACTATTAACCTGGCCTGTACTATTTTCTCGATTTTGTCATGTTTAGTTCAGTCACTATCGTTGCCGACCTTGGACGGTGAGCTGATAATCTATCTCGGGTATTATTGTTGATATAGCGAGCCCTATTGTTTACCATTTTTAGTACGTACTGCAGCAACGCTGCAGCCGCGCGATTGTCACTTTCATACAATTTCTAGAAGCGCTGCATCCGTGCGGCGGCTGCGCGTCTAGAATTGTATGCAAAGCGACAGTCACGCAACCGCCGCGCGGCTGCAGCGCGGCTAACAGCGACTAATTTGAACACGCCCTTAAGACCGGAAATCTGAAGAAACCGAAAACATCTGTTCAAGAGTTTCTTTTGGCATATTTCCCTTCTTAAAAAGAAATTTAATCACGATACGCACTCGAAATCCCTAGAACTTCCGGTTTTAATTAACATGGTGATGTTGGTTGTACGAGCGCTTAACTGTTTAGTAAGGAAACAAAAGAAAAACAGATAATATTTTATAGTACCCCTGAGTCACGCAACTAGTATTATCAGTAATGAAGTAATGAGTATATGCCAAGAACTTAGGTCGCGTCTTGTACGAACAGGCGAGCGCGAAAAATAGTATCAGAGATACTGGTGCTACCGTTTTTGGCGCCAATCACCTTGTGCGCAAGAAAATAATATAAGCTTTGAAAAGTTTTTTTCAACTTAAACAACTGAAACATCAAATATTCTAAATTCAAATCTCACATGATTCAAAATTAAAGACTTATATAGGATGCCTGTTCATTTTGACTTTGTTTTATCATACCAAGCAATGATTTACTTGTATACCAAGTGACAGGATGCAAAAATTGTGCTACTCAGAGCTTTAAATCGCAAAAATCTGAGGAGCACTGCTACTGCGCCCTTCACCCTGAGACATAAGTTGACAAGTCCCACGTGCCTGTAATTGCACCGGCACATTTACCCTTCACAACTCAAAACCAGAACACAGTAATGTTCACATTACTTGACAGCAGAAATAGGTAAAGTCGCAGTACTACCCTGGACGAACTCTTTCACAAGAAGCTCTTCTGCTACGAAAAGACTAAAAGAAGTACGCACATAGAAAAGAATAAATGATATTTTGATGAAAAATTATTCAAATAAAAGAGAAATAATGAAGACTGCCTTAAGTAATTGAAGGGAATTTGTATAATTACTGTTGTTGTCTTAAAAGTACTGCAGCGGTCTTGCCATTAATAATAGAGTGTAAAAAATTGCAATTCTTCGTGTGGCAACACTGACAAGGTGGAAGGGCAAGCTGCGACTAATTTTAATTAATCCTGAAAACAAAGTAGCGTCCCGAAAGTGTTCTGAATAAAAGAATAACAATGTCGCTAGGTACATTGCTATCGTAGAATTTATTTTATAGGCGAAAGCGATTATTTTAGTTCACATACATACTTTTTTTAGTTCTGTCCGAAGTGTGTACCTGTCCCGCGACTATGCTACACTTGACATGAACTACACGTGGAATTTGATAGCGATATACATACAGCAGAAAGACATCGCTGCTTATTTGCACTTAATTGGCTTTTCCTATGAGACCAAGTGACGGGACGAACGAGTCGCGCACCTGGTTATAAGTGACACCCCTGTCCATAACAGTTGCAGTACCACTTTAGTGCTTCAAATCACAGATATTTGAGGGACACTGCCACTGCTCCCGTCACCCTGAGATATAAGTTGACAAGTCTCTTTGCTTGGCGGCAGAAGTAGATAAGGTGGCAGTACTTCCCTGGACGAACTTTTTCCCAAGGAGCTCTACAGCTACTAATCCTGCTGTCTTTGGTATAATAAAGTCACTTGTCATACGTCAAAAGTACTTTTATCATATTAAAATCATTAAAATAATACGAACTGCTTGAAATAAATTCGCACTACGTGCTTTTGTCGTTTTTATGATCATTACAGGCACAACTCGGGCACTGGATATTATAAAAAAAAACATACTGTACATGAAACTACTTATACGCCTTTCTGAGAGAAATAAAGCATTTTGTATTTGTATAAAAACTTGTCGACTAATTTCGTTCGAAGAATCTTTAAAAACCTCTCTCCAGAAAAATTAACTACTGTAATAATAACTCACGCCTTTAAGTCGAATTTTTGCTTGACATGTTTCAAACCAGCCCGCAGTCTTTCCTGAAAAAAATCCTGAAAAAATTACATCAAAGGTGCAAATTTACTATTACTCTGCAGTTAAATAAATATAATGTATTTAGAAAAACAGTTAGATACTATTTTAGATGTTCACTAACCATCGTCAGTCGTCCTCACTTAATATCAAATATTTTAACAATAATAAAAATTCAACAACATTCGTCATTTGCCTCCCGTTTTAATTACGAAGCTTTTAAATTACACGGCCTCGAAAACTCGTACTGTCTACACATATTTCTACACGTGAAAATAAATCAATTGCTTATATTAAAATGCTATGTGTACCATATTATTTGAATTAACATAAAACTACGAAATGTCATCATGTCTTTCATTCGTAGCATTTTTAGATCATCGGCGTAGTTCGTAGCGCACCATTATACAGCCACGTAAGTAGCGATAGTAACTTAGATACGTTACACAATATGTATACCAAGTGTTGAAAATTCACAAGCCGCCAACGTCAGATCTCATGCCTTAGCCACAAACTTTAACAACCGTGGCAGTGAAGAATGGCGTTGGCATCAGATCGCCTAAAAGCCTCCTCAGTCGACATCTGTCCTTAGCTCTCGTCTCACCTTAATTAAAAGACCCCCCTAACCCCCTTTCTACCTTGAGTCACCGCCGAAACCTTAAGGGTTTCTTTATAAATTTTAATATTCTTAAGTAACATTTAAAATATTGCTTTTTTTCAGGAGATATAAAATGTTTTGTTTAATTATATAAACATTAAAGTTATTGTATTATCAGCGTTTAGATGGTTGTGTATCCTCTCTCTATCTCTCCTCTGTTGTATTGCCTTTGCGCTGTTTGTTGATGTTTCTTTCTTTGAAATTGTGGCAAAGTTGAATCCGAAACAAAAAGTAAACAAAAAACGATTGTTTTGACGAAAGTGTACCAGGTCAAAATTCTCTTAAAACACAAAGACGCAACAATGGCGAATCCTCCATTCCCGATGTCAATTAACATAATGGAAACTGAAGTAAATATTTTTCCACCTTCGCTTACTTTCTGACGTTTACAAAGCAGCCTGGCCACCCGCAGGGTATGGGCGAGAGGGCCGCTTTACGAATAAAATAATATTACATTTTAATGAGATTTGAACCCTGACCATTTGTTTATTGAGGAAAGTTGTAACGGCGCGTAATGGATCGTTTATGCATTTTACTTTCTTGGTGTAACTAGTCATGACTGAAGCTTTTTAAAATGGTCTTGTCGGCGCTGAACGTTTTTACATCGATTTTAAAGCTACAAGATATTCCACGCTCCACCTCATTTAAAAGTAACATAAAATAAAATCCAAAAAATATGTATTATTTCGTGAACAGAAATTTCTACCACTATAACCTTTGAAATATTTTTCGTTTTTAATTTTTATTAATTAATCACATAGTTTTTGTAGTCGTTGAACTTATACATCATTTTTGTCAACAGTGCGAAGAGTCGCCCCGCAGTTCTCGATACCGCCTCCGCCAAAGTCCGAAGTTATGCTGGGAGGTAACCTGACTCTCAAGTGCGTGGCTTTCGGATCACCCATGCCTACTGTCAAGTGGAGGAAAGGTAAACAAAAATAATACTCATCAAACATAATAATCTGGTATTAACAGATCAGAGTAGTTTTCTTTTGACGTCTAAAGTTCATTTGTATGTAGAAAATATTCGTTCCACTTTTTGCCAAATTTCTATATACACGCATATATACGCATGTGTGGAAGCCATAACTTGATCCAATGCTAAAAATTGGTGTTTTATAATTATTTCAAAGCAAATAGTATGTTTAGTATAGTTTCCTTCTATTATATTGTAAGTCATTATGTACATTATTTTTTTCTAGAAAGTTATTCGTATTTCGGATAGCCTCAGAGTTAGATATGTTATATTCGAGCTGGGTAAATAAAACAAAAAATCTTTTATCGCATCAAAACGTTCTGTGTAGTATACTGCTTCCAACAAGTGCCAATTTTGTTTTTACTAGTTGTAGAGAAACCAGTAGGTCAGAGTATTTTTCTTTAACAATTGTAGCTCTACGGGGAGCTTTCAAAGATTTTTTCTAACTTTTAAAATATCTACGTTCAATCACGCAACGTGTATTAATTTTGTGGTAAATTATTTCCAAGATTTCGATTTGCAAATAGCGTATAAGCTACATTGTAAGTAACGAACTTTACATTCAAGAATTTTTCGTAGATTTTCTAGACATTGTACTTCTAGCATCGTACATGCAATTGTTTAGGTTGGCTTGTAATAACCTCATCCAGCTAAACTTGTTGTATTGTTCACAAATAGAATCGGCCCAAATAATATTTCACGAGATTTGTTCCTATACCCTTTTCGAAACTGCGATTCATCAAGCATTTTTCGAGTAATATGGACATACTACAATTTTTTTCGACAATATATATTTCATTTTTCATCATCATCATCATCATCATTTCAACCCAAAGACGTCCACTGTTGAACATAGACCTCCCCCAAAGAACGCCACACACAACGACCGGTCCATTTATTCTGTGCATTTTTCATTAGAGAATGATGAAGAATTACACGGAATCAGGACCTTCTGCGGTTTCAATATGTCTTTTGATATTAGAGTTTTTACTTATCACGCGGCACTCACTTGGATGAAAATTTTGTAAAACAAGTTTGGTCATATATATGACCAAGCTAGTTCTAGTAGTAGAAATCATCCTGATTTGATAGCAAGTCAGGATGATTTTCATTTTGCTACTGTTTGAGTCTTAACATTTGTCATAATATACTTCCTTGCTTCTCCAAAGACTAAGTGATCCAAAATAAGTCGTGTCTTAAAATACATGTTAAAACTTACAAAATTAACATACGTTACGTTACATACGTATAACAGAAAGAAACAAGTTGCATATCATACGAAATACACTCTGTTGGATCCTTCAATAAAACTTCTGCTTTCCTTTTTCCGGTTTTATTGAACTCGATTGTAAATGGACTGTATACGTCTATTCCGGAAATACTTTGAAACTTAAGATTAATTTCTTCCTGTTCTTAGATCTTCAATGACTTAACTGAACTTGAACTTAAAGTTATTGGAATCCAGAAGGATCCTACTATTATATCGGTATAGCGTCACCCACACCATCGTGCCGGCCTAATTAATGCGCCGCGGGCGCTCCCGACCAATCAGAGCACGTGAATTATCTCGCGAGATTCAGTCTTCCTTGTTCGCTTGCCTTGATCAACCAGGCGCGTCTCGGCCGTCCGTACCACACGCTCTTTACAATTTTTTATTTATTTATAAAGCACAATAAAATCCACAACGCTGCACAATTAACGTAACAAATGCAAAGAATAATTGAAAACAATGAAATGGTTTTCACATTCATTTTCAATCGTTCACATCGTAGCATTTACAAAGATGTGTGAATGAGCTTTGTTCACTTGAAACGGTCTGACATAGCACATTATTCTAAACTCCTCCCGAAGTCATATATATAATACCCATATTAAACTCAACGAGGTTATTGACCCAAAATGGCTCTACGATCCGATCACTACTAAAAAGCGAACTACATATTGTCTGTTTGAAGGTAAAACCACATAAGAGACATTTTAAACAAAAAGTCTTTAATTTATATAGCTATGGTAAGAAAAGCACTGTCTTTCTGCACGTGAAACTCAATAACAAAAAAGGTATAAACTTTTTAAATTTTTTGTGAAATTATTCCACTAGTTTATTATAATTAAGCTATAAACTTAATAAGACTTTTATCTATATAGAAAGATTGTGATTTTCTTGCAACAGGTACATAATTTACAGGTTTTTTTGTGGAAAGTGTCACTTTAAGCAGACGATATTTAATTGGTATTTTTTCTTTTCATTTTTCGTTTTTTCAAGCGTTACGAAAATTATTTTTTATTTCAAACATACTTTTAATATTATTTTAAGATATCTTTCTCTTGAACATAATATATCATTTTGCAACGACAAACAAAAACACTTTTTTCGTAAAGTAGTCCATCTAGCATCTAGCATAGCTTGCGCTTTTCGACAGGTGTCAATTTTCGACACGTCTTATAACCTTGTAATGGCGAACACTCTTTTCAACGTGACATGAAAACATCTTCTAACACATTTAGCTTGGCATTTAAGGGGACGAAGAGTGATATAATATGTTACAGCGTACTCAGCCAAAACTGTAACAGATACTGATAAATCTGTTTAATCATTAGACGTTATACGCGTTGTCACGTATTAAGAGCTTTGCCATGTATCATAGTCAATGCGTGATCCGTGTTTGTAATTCACCAGGACCGATAAACAAAGGAAACTACGCACACCAGCAAATTAAACGGAACGCTACGAAAATCCCTAATAAATGCAACGTTCTTTCAAAGTCTGGTCTGTTTCTTATTTTAATTTTTTATTGTATGTCTTATTTGAATAAAAAATAGTCGGCATTTTTTCCATTGATTTGTTTTAATTAACGCAGATTTATCGAGTGGCTCGAGGTTGATTTTGCGTCCTTGTAAATTTCGTATACTTTAGTTGAAAAAGATTTTGTATTTATTAAAGCTTGATTTAACGTGAAACTGTTACAATTTTTAAATTTTCAGCCGTTTGTGCTTCGTCCCAAAACGTAAAAAAAAGCTGCACCAAGTCGATGTTAAAATATATTAATTCTTATTTGATCATCAACCCATTTATACATCCCACAACTGGACATGAGTGGTGAACCCTTCTTCGACGTGCAAGTTACATCACGATATTTCCCGTCACCGAAAAGCTCATAATAAATTTCAAATGAGAGGCGGTAAAACAACCCATGAGGCTACCACGATTTTCTTATTTATTTAAGTATAAACGTTAGTGTTATATATTCTCACTTTTTTGTTCCACTAAATGTGCCGGTGTGTGTAAATACATATAAAATAGATGTTTGTCCTTTAATTACGAAAAATATTGACTCAAGAAAAGCCTAAAATGAATTAAAGCCAATCAATTGTTCACCATAATGAAGCATTCATTAATTGAAAAACGATCGCATTTCAATCGACAGGCGTTAACACAGTTACCTGGGCGAAATTAACGGTTATTTGCACTTGACTTGTAATATTAACGTAATTATATTCAGAGCTTTTATTTACAAGTAACTTATATGTGCGTTTTCAAAGTCACAACCTAATAATCTTTATTTCATGTGAGCAAATTACACTTGAAATCGTCATAGTGATTAAGTAGATTTTAATCTACTGCTCATTTGTAAGGCAGATTCCATTGAGAAGAATGAGCAAGAAACTCTAGGGGTTGCTCTTTGTAAATGTACATTTGAATACATATATCATTACAATATTTAATTTAAACATCTGCAGACTACCTGCACAAGCTATACGGGTCACTACCCACGGATTTTTATCCATCCATTATTGGTATCCAGCGTACGCAGAAGCTGTATAAATAACCTTTAGTATAAAGTTTTTGTTTCACTATTGTTTTAAACCTCGTAAAGGGAAAATTTTGAATATCAATCAGAACCTTAAAGCATATCCCTTTAAATGCGTTTGAGACTTTGTTATGGCGTCTGTCAAAAACCACAATCCATAAATTACTAAAACTACTCATATTATAGATTTGGCAACTCATATTGTTTGTTTAAGCGAGGGCAACTGGGCACGAGCCTTCCCTATGCAAAGGTTTAGGCCAAATTTGCCTATACACTTACACGCCCACTTCGTCGGCTCGGCGACCCGAAGTGGATCTTGGCCTCCGACATTAAGATGCGCCACTCTTCTCTCTTCTATGCCGCTTCTTGCCAATTCAGATCCAGCGATATCTAGGAAGTCGAACCGGTCTTCTGCCAGACGGTTGCCCCAGATACGCTCTCTTGACTGCACGATCCTCACCCATCCTCTCGACGTGGCCAAGCCAGCGAAGTTGGGTTGATTTGGTCTCTCCTATGATATTAGGTTCCTTTATCAAATCCTCTATCTCCAGATTTTTCCTCATTCGCCCGATATATAGCACTGAAATTTCAATTATTTTTAATTTTGTTTCGTATAAAAGATTATAAAATCGTAAAAGGTTGTTTTATCTCTTTTTTAATAATGGAATAACGTCATAGTAACATTCCGTAATAGATTGGAATACAGCACAACTCCAGTCCCGTCTATCAAAATACGCAAACTACATACATTAATACTTTTATAAAAACTTATATTTAAGAAAGGTATTTAAAAGACTAGGTAATTGTGCATATTCTAAAATACTATTTCTTTTTCTGTCTTTTTCTTTATCTATTACGAATTGGCAGATTTCGACTCTCCAATTTTTTTTAATTTTTACCTTTCTCGAAACTTGTATTTATTTAGGACAACCAACAAGTAAACTTTATAGGTAAAAAATGATATTACACAATACAAACGAAGTAATACTCAAATGATAACTCTTACCACAACACACACTTAACAAACACAATTAGTTATTTATACCTATTTACATAAAGAAGTAATCATACATTTATTTACATAAGATATAGTACAATATATAGCATAGGATGATAGATATATATAAAATATTAATTCAATTATGACGTTAACAACATTTTTTAACCATGACAAATGTCCACAGGCTTAACCCAGTGGCTGACACCAGAAGATAACCCGCCTCTCGGCCTTAACACGCTTAAGCTGGAAGATATCCGCGAATCCTCAAACTACACCTGCGAGGCGGCCAGCGTGCTGGGTGTCATCGAAGCCGTAGCTGAGGTTAAAGTCCAATGTGAGTAATATTTATTTATTTAATACCGTAATTTTTGTTTGTAATTGTTATTACACGACGACCAGACGCAGACTAGACCGTCACTAACAAATGACGGTACGAACAAGTCGTGCGTCTGGCGGCAAGCGACGCGCAACGCGTCCATAGCAATTCCAGTGCCACTCAGAATAAAGCACACTCTCTGACGTTCCCTAGTCACAAGTCCTATGTGCCTGTAATTTCACCAGCACTCTTACCCTTCAAAATCGGAACACAGTAATGCTGACATTACTGCTTGGCGACTTTCCTTAGTGCGGAGCTATTAGTGTGCGTTATTATAAAATAAAATACAATTATATATTCAGGAACAGTACAATACAATTAAGTAAATTGTAGGTGGTGGTAGTCGTGTGTAGTAATTTTAAGTGTATTATTGGTACTTTCTGGACGAACTCTTTCAAAAGGAGCTCTACTGCTGCTAAAACCTATGCAAGCAGTCACAACTAGTAAAGTATAAACTTACGCGAGGCAGCGCTTCAATAAGCGTCCAATATGAAGGCGAACTTATTGTTATTGATACAAAGATCGAACAAACACACGGAAAAATTCCTGCGATCGGACTGTATTCTTCCCAGCGTCTGTCGCTCCGACGTGGCTACCGCTGTTACCAACTGAATTACGAATCGAGCCAACACATCTTACGAATTCCTCTACATGCTTGTTGGATTAAAACTGTGACGGTGTGACCTCCTTACTTACATCGTCATCCCACCTTTTTATCGCCTTACTCCGGTTCTTAGCCTCTCGTATTTAGATTAAAATTTTGAATTTCAATAGTTCTTTTGCTTCGCATTCTGATTTTGTTTCGTTCCTCCGTCACTCCCTACTCGATCGCGGCAGCGAACACGTCTTCTCTTCTTAATTTTTTGAGCCGTTTACCAATTACCAAAAATCTCTTGTGCGATAAACATTTTAAAGATCATAAATATTGTTAAAACTGGAATAAATATTTATAAAACTGGATTTATTACCACTAGTTCTTTATCCTTTTGAACTTTGAACTTTAAACTTACTACGTAAGAGGTTGCGGAGGCTACTGTACTACTCTCCCGACAACATTATAATGAACAGAACTCCACGCGCTCTTCAAAACGGCTTTTTATCATGCACTACCCTATCTGGTTAAAGAAATCCCTTTATACAAGAAACAATAGAACAAAGAACTAAGCAAAATTTCTGACTACTGTATCAATTAATAACGTATAATAAATATTTTGTTCCACAAATCATTAAACCGTTGAAGAGCGACTGTTCTTAATTAAACCATCAGCTACTCCGACTCGGTCGAGTTGGAAGTCACTCGATCAAATTATACACTCGTAATTTCTTCGGATAACTTTACTGGGTATTTCATGTCGAGGGGTAGGGGGTGAAAGTGTTATTACGATACTGTTAATTTTGTAATTTGCCTAGCAATTTGTGGCATACTACAGCACTATACTAAACTTTGATCTATAAACACGACGACCTCGTGTCTCAAGGGTTTACAATGTGGGCTTTGGATGTAAAGGATCCCGGGTTTGATTGTCAATAATAAAATAAACGATTTCCAGTGTCAACTTTATACAGTTTTTGTATATACTCGTATATGTTCTTTATGTGCACTTAAAAATAAACTTAACTGCCCAGAAAATCACGCGAAGCATCATTTATTGCGTGCTTTTTTCTCTGGAACGTGTCATGTCAATTCGTTTTCGTTAGAGTTTCGTAAACGTCATCAATAATAATTTCGCAAGTATTAAGAAATCGCAACATCGATATGTAGTTTGCAAACTAATCTTCCAAATTAATGTTAGAATAAGAACTTCATTAATAATATTAGAAACAAAGCAAGAACCCTCAAAGCCCGTTATCCTCTTGATAGATTTATTCGGAACAGCCAGATGAGAGCACTAGGCGGAAATAACTCACACTTAGCCCATAATCTGACCGAGAATGGGTGTACTCAGACGAACGACTTACGATGGCAAAAATTCTGTCAGATACGTCGACATCAAAATTATCGCGTTGAGTATGCAAAAATTTCTGTTACCATTCAAATGCTGACATCACTTCGAATTCGCATTTTTTTTTATGTTTATTGTGCCAAACAACCACAACTGTTGCCCGGTCTCAAACTAGGGAATTCCCTGTACTATGAGTACAGAGCAACGGAATCACTCCGGGACATTTCCCTGACAACCCAGACTAGAACCAATTTAGAAAAGCTCGTTTCCCAATTTGGTTCTACCGGGAAGCAAACTCAGGTCCTCCTCGTCCAGAGTTCACTGAGTCAATTTCTATTGTCTTTTGAATGGATATTCATATTTGCAGTAGCAAAAAAAGTTATTTAAAATTTGTCAACGACCTTTTCAACCCACATTTTGATGATTTCTTAACATCAGAATCTTTGAAATCTGACAGTAAAATGTATCGTTGTGTCAAAAATGTAAACGTGTAAACATGCCATACAATTCTAGAAGATGACAAAGACTTCAGTTGAGTGTGCTGTGTGCTGTTTCAAAGTCAAGCTGCTAGAAAGGGAACTAGTGCCCCAACGAAATGAAATATTGGATACCGACCACAAATTAGTCGCAACCAGACTCCAACAATTAATGAGAAGATATAAGAATATCTAACGTCTGCATAAACCCCTTAGTCTGTAATCCGTCCGAATTAAATTGAGAAAACGGAACGGGAACAATAATTAGTCATTAATCAAGCTGACGTCCGTGTCTCCTGAGCCCTCGCAACTTTGCCACCCTTTCAATTATGAATTATAACTCTAATTCATAATAGATATCGCAATTTATCAAATTGATTCGCATAAATCCCTCTTTCAGAATCGACGAGGTTGTTTGGATACCCTTGGATCTTTTTAAATTATTAATTACAGTAAAACAGTTTCATTTAGCGTCCTGTTCGCTAATTACGATTCATTAGTCAAGATTATGGTTGGTTTGATCGTTTATCATTGCGTCGTTCATTTGAGTTGGTGCTATAACAAATACATTTCATATCTTTGATTTATTTGACGACACATCAAGTCAGCCAAAATTTATTATCAAATTATCTAGCCCAAAAGTGAAGGAAATAAATAGGTATGCAAAAAATAATAAATACGTACACATAAGTACTCACGAGTAAAATGAGTACTTATGTAATAACCAAACTTTTATCGTCATGACCATCATGACTATTAAAACAGGTAGATAGTATTGTAGCTTGTATGTAATCTCACTTTTTTCATTCTTGACTTGTCTGAAAGCCCTGATGATGTCCTTGTCGAGGTTTATCATTTCTTGACGTATCAGGAACATTTTAAAGACATAGTGGTGCTCGGTAGCTTCGACAGTCTGAATTCTCTCGTTTTGAGGATTTTGATAGCAGTGACGACGGCACGAACCAAAACGTGAGAATAGTGGAGAAAAGGGAATTCGAGAACTATTCAAAATTTTTGAAGTAAATGGTCAGAAACCAGAAAAAGGGATGATTGAAAGGTGGGATGACGATGAAGGAGATCAACATAGAATGTCTCATGTTAAAATCTTCTGCTGTACACCTACTACTACTCATTTATGTTAAATCCAAAGTTTTCTGTCGATTCGAGGTACAAAAATGAATGATTAAATTTCTGTGCCCTTAATATAAAAACGTTAAATTCTTTTATAACTTATTCCATAATCATTTTAACCCTTTCTACTTTACTGACCTAGCCCATTCGTCTTAATTTTGTCGTTAATTTACCAACTCGGCAACTTTTTCAGCGTAAATTTTCACAAGTCTCAAATGCTCTGAACATTAAAATTCTTTGACCCAATGATATCTTCGGAGACAATCCTTCATTTTAAAATTTATTTCGGTCCCAAAGGACTTAGCAAGCTATTCAAAAATATTGCAAGGTCTTTTTGAATTTATAAAAGAATAATATAATCTATAGAATTGTTTAAACAAAGATTTATGCAAAGTTTATAACGAATATCAAGATCATCGAATCGTTGTCTTTTATCAAGATTTAATCATTACCTTCTATTATAATAATCGCCAGAGTTGGAAATTCTTATGTAAATAGATATTACAACGACATTTTAATACATAAAAATCTGCGTACATTTTAATTGCTCAAAGGTCAAGAATACCTTCATAGACGGCGATCAAATATGTTCAAACGTATGGCATGTATTAGATTAGTTATCTTGACCCCAAAAGTTGTCTTCTTACAAACGAAGATCCATTTCGTTCAATTTTGTATATTTCAATTTTCTTCCAGCACTACCGGGCCCACCAACTGAAGTCCGAGCGTCCGAAATCACAGCAACTACAGTTCGGCTAGCGTGGACCTACAGTGGACCTGAGGAGCCGCAGTACTACGTTATTCAGTACAAACCTAAATATGCCAATCAGGTGAGGAAGACAGGCTTTAGGTCTCAGGTTTTAAGTCCTATTGATCGTTAATTAATTTCTTACGACTCTTATGTGTGGTTTTGCACATACTTGGGTAAGTGTAACGGGACGCGCTTGTCTGTGTGTCATTACTGGAAGGGGTTTCCTTTACAAAGTATTGAAAGTTTAATTGGTGTCCTGTAAACTCGCCTACGTATGTTAGTAACAAATAAATTGCATTTACGCTAGACGTCTTAACCGTTTCATCAATCCCAGATATTAAGTCACGGAATTGTCTATCGTCATTTTTCAAAATGAAACAAGAATGACGTCCTCAGTGGACCAGCGACAAGCACTGGGCGTCGATAATGAGAATTAATTTTAGAAACGAATTTCTCTAAACTGATACCGATCTGGAGGTTTTGGTTAGTGTTCCCGAAGTCAACTTCGTTATTCTGGTATTAATAAAGCCGGGAACACACCTAGCATTTGATTTGATTGATGTGGTTTTCGCATTAATTTACTACCTAAAATAACTATTACTTTCTTCGTTAAGATTTAATAACTTCTTTTCCAAAATACAGGCTTTCAGCGAAATCTCAGGCGTGATTACTCAATACTACTCTGTGACGAATCTCTCACCTTACACTGAGTACGAAATGTACGTTATTGCTGTGAACAACATTGGTCGAGGACCTCCATCGGCACCAGCGGTCATTACTACAGGAGAAACCGGTACGTATAAGTACTAGACATTAAAATTAATTAACTGCGGAGGAAAAGTAAAACTTCGTGACAAAACTTGCGTTTCGAAAGTTAATAAAACTTACCCGCTCGGAGATCTCAAGCAATACCTTCATTCTAAGGAGATACTCATTTCACAATTGAACAGTTTTGATTTTAAATCTTCAAAATATTTGCTGCAGCCTTATTTACCTGTTGATTCCTCAGAAAACGGCTTCGGAGGTTTTTGTACGACACGTTTTAAAATCTTGGAGTCTCCATTTTAATGTATAAGACAGTAAAGAAATACTAATAAAGCTTTACAGTATCTGAGGTTGAGAATTCTGTCTTGAACACTTAACTTATGAATGGATCAAATTCTTGAAGCTTTTTCTATAATCTTAAATTTTCAAGCTATTCTAAACTCTATCTAAAACAGAAACACTGAATAAGTGCAATGTGCTGTACTTTAATAAGTGTTTCTTATTAATGAACAAGTACAAATTAATCTTAAAAGTTATCTTTTGTGAATATGAATAATTTTTATCGCTCTAGATCTAGTATTGTCAATGATATTACATTTAACTAAGCGCATCAATCCATACGCTTACTTCATTTATTTTCTCGCTTACATATAAATATAGTTTCATCTTGTTTTCTTTCGTAAATAGATTTTTGGTTTTTTACTTGCGCTGAATTCTAAGTTCTCTAAGGTTATTTTAAACGTCTTTACATGCCTACGCGAAATGCGATCTACGACCGCCGCCGCTTCATGTAAGTTGGCTTTTAAGTGAATTTTGATTCCTAGTTTTCCTTATTTCATTTGCACATTTGTTTTTACTTCCTGTAGTCAGTAGATGTAGAGCGTAAAATATTTTAGTTCGTTATTCACGCACCATTTCGTTATTATTATCAAAATTCGTTAGGGAATTACTGGTTTTGCAGTTGTTAGTGTTCACACCTTTCTTCCCAATTTTACGCACTTGTGTGTTAAATGTTTGTTAATGTTTATGTTTTCTGTAACTAACATTATATCTTTTTTCTCGTGCTACTCTCCAGTGGACTCTCTATATGGAGGTGCCAGTAAGTATTAACATATGTTTCAGATTTTACGTGGTTGATCCTTTCGGGTTTCCGTTTCTTTTAGTTTTGCTGACTCACTTTTAAACTATTTTATTTAAGTATTTACTTGCATGTTACTCAAAGTACTGAATTCTATAATCGATTGTCAAACTCCAGCACTTTGCATGTTGTGTTCTCTAACATTGAAATACCGAGAGGTTCGAAAAAGTCTGAGCCGCTAAATTCAGCGTAGGAATCGTCATAAAAAATCCTATGTTCTGATGTGATCATTCGTTAATATGAAATATTCTTGCCTACCTTCAATTTCGCATTTCCCTTCCATCATGTCAAAACCTTATAATATCTAATTTACCGCAGCAAGATATTAAATTTGGTTTCCGAAACCACACCCGTCTCAAATTATACCTCGTCGTGTCAAAAGGCAAAATAAAACTCGGATGAGTAGGTAATGAAAACGTTGCGCCGAAATTGCTGACAGATTTTTTATTTTCTTTACATTTCTAATAAAGGAAAAGTTTGAACCGGCGTCCGCGACCCGAATTGTGCTCCCAAATGAGATTATAGCGTTTTAATATCTCACAGTGCCGAAAAAACTTTTATTGTTTCGTCCTTTCCGAGTATTATAAACAGAAAAGAGATTTTCATTGAGTGACGCCCCTTTTTCGTGTTCGGGGCCGCGATTACAAATCCTATTAAGTGAGCTATTGTACCCCCAACCTTATTCTCGCGTTTTTATTTTCATTTCCTACATAATTGAGAAGAGGCGAGGCGCTTCTTAATTTGATATGGCCTTGTTTGCGCTACATTACTTTTTATGGTAATACGCTCGTATTTTGTTGGATTTTGTGTGACTAAGAAGTACAAAGATGCTATCACAAAATGAGTGGGCTGTTCTCACTTGATCACAGTTATTGACCTTCATCTAAAAATAACAAGCTAAAGGTCACTTTATGTAAATCCTTTGTTTGAAATCATTTGACATAGCTCGCGTAGTAAAACTAATAAAGACTTGACATTTCATTTACTTAAAAATTGTATAAAAAATTTCATGGAAAATGTTTTCGTGCTTTGATTTTCGTGTAAAAACATACAGGTAGAGATAAAAGGGTATATATTAATTTGACCTACCTATTTATACATACGATTTATGGACAGCTAAATAAACAATTGGAAATAATCCAAATGGCCATTTCAGTTACTTTTTTTTTATAATATTTTTTAGTCAAAAGTATTATTGTCACATTCCTTTTTAGTTCTATAACACCGACATACTACATCATCAGATTTTAATTAACCGAGAAAATTAAAATGTGTGCTTACAAAAAAATTACATAGTCCAAATGACCTTCAGGTAAAAAATATGTTTTTAGGGCACATTCAAATCAGACGCTTATAGAAGCGCGGCGCACTTCAGTGGTGCGGCTGACTCGCACTATTATTTTTCATAACATCTGTACGACTCAGTCAGTGCGCGGCTTACGCGAAAACGGTATAGAGCTCGAGATACTGCTGTTTTCGCAAAGATAATGGCAATATCTCACGCATCCATGTCACTCTCGCGCAAGTCACGCCCTGTTGTGCTAGTCCTACAGGAAACACAGTCACAGCGTCACTGTAGTGACACATGAACGCCACTTTTGCTTTAACAATTAGTGAAGTAAGGCGCAACGCGCGGCAGCCGCGCTACAGTTGCGCTACTGCACTGCGTCTACAACCGTCTAATTTGAAGGCGCCCGTACAAATTAACACGTACACGTACAAATTATCCTATTTACACATTAAGCTTTAACTACACTATTTCTCTTGTACAATAGTTGTCTATCGATGTAACCTATTGTGAAAGACATATGGTTGATAATGGCAACATCACACGACTGTGACTCGTGCGGTCCGTCGCACAAACAACTCATTACCTCTACTGTACTATAATGACACTAAAATTTACTTTTGTTTCACGTGCCTTACTCCATATTTACTTATAATTGGCGTATTTAATAAATTGTAATTGACTGTACTCAGCTGTACGAAATTTTGGTTAAACTCTAACCTCGCGATGGCAAAAGTTTTAGATGTTTCTAATCAGTATTTCTCATAAAAATTACGATAATTAATTCATTTTTGGAGTGCACTGTCAATCGATTTCTACGTTTTAGTTAAATCGCTTAAAATTTTACTTCGTCGTGTTCTAAATTGTCCGGATTCCAGCAACAGCCGCCAGAATCCTAAAATAATTTTGTGGTAGGCTGAGGCTTGCTAAGGTACAGTTCTCTGTATTCCCGATTAGAGTGCTGAAAAGCCATCATGCACATTGATGACGCAGTTGATTAAGAGTTTGAAAGCGTTGGATGAAACAATTGAGCGGGCGTTGTTGCCAACTCACATCTTTAAACTCGAGTGTACTGAAAGACTCGTTCATAAAAAAAATATTATCGTACAAACTTGGAGTGATGCCATACGAAATGTTGCGTCGGCGTGGCGACGAGGCGCTACGTTAAAACGACGTAACGGCCACCGCATCTTAGTACGTTGAAATCACAGCGTTGCGACGACGCCACGCCCGTGTCGCATAGCTCTCAAGTGTCTCTTGGTATAACGCATAGATGTTAAATTAAGTAAATAAATAAACTTAGAATTTTTGAATGTTTACACCTATTACATAAGTGCAACACAGACAGCTTCTGTATAATTTGGTGTTTAATATGCACTCCGCCTGCATTACGACATACTTACATGCTACATGAAGACTGAAAATCAACAATGCGGAGTCTTCATTCTTTTAGTCCACATTACTGTTTAATTGTTTAATGATTAGCTTATATTATGGTTTACGTGTTTTATAGATAAATAAATATCATTTTATTTTATTTTTTTTAGAATACATTAGTATAGAATTCGTTTATTACACCGCCATAACACGAAAATATACAGAAATAAAATAAAGACAAAGCAAAAGTAAAACATAAAATAAAATAACAAAAAAACAACGAAGCAAAGATAATCCAATTTTAAAACAGTCAATTTGAATAAATGTCATATGTGCGACTGTGGCTTATGTAAAAAGATCCACTCAGCTAATGTCACAGCCTAATAAAGACTGTGACGCTGATTTATATAAGTTGGTAGGGTGTAAACTCTAAAAAGGTTACATAAAGACTAATGTACATTAAAGCAATTTCAAGACCGTATTTGTTACACGACTATTATTGTTTTTATGTAAATGTAATATAAATCACAGTTTCAATATGCCTGTTAATTTTCTCGGATAATTAAATTTCACAGTGTATAACATTCATACTGTGTATAGTATACAGTGTATAGTATTCGAATCAAACCATTAATAACAAAAAAAATCACTTCAGAACCTGGTTCAGCGCCACGCAACGTTCAAGTACGCCCACTAAGCTCCAGTACCATGGTCATACAGTGGGACGAACCCGAGACTCCGAATGGACAGGTTACGGTAAGTATGAATTTATGAAAATGTTTTACCATACACGTTTTACCATAAACATAATTTCAGTAAACAACGATGTATTTATTGAGATTTTTTGTGAAATAACTTCACTAGTTTTGTTATAATTAAGAACGCAAGGATCGCACGCACAAAAAATTTCGTCGATCCGGTCCCAACAACGACAAGTGCCAACTTGAATCCACGTCCATGCTGCACCGTAGCATTGCTCTAACCATCTGAGCTACGGGTCCAGTTACCGAGTCGTCGAAATTCTCCGATGTGTTTTCGTCATAGATATTTGTACTGACTTTCGACATTCTTCCCCGATACCTTTACAGGTATCACCACAGACGCAGATGTCGCTTTTCGATCAAATGCATATAATGAGATTTTTTGTAAAATAACTCCACTAGTTTTGTTGCGATTATGAATACAAAGATCGAACGCATAGAAAAACAACGATATTGTTAAAAAGTATTAACAACAACTTCTAATACATTTTAGGCGTGTCTTTGCGCGAGAGCAACATAAAGTACTCTATGCAAGAATAGCAGTATCCCGCGGAAATCGCGCCTTGTCGTGGTAGCTTTACAGGGTCAGTTTTAATTAATGATGATAAGGCCCCTCGGCACGGTGTTTAAAATGCAGCAACCTCCTCTGTGCTCTAATGCGTTGGTCAAGGTCAAATTCTAGGACCTCTTTTCCAAGGTCTAACCATTAGAATAGCTTAGGACATTACAATTTTGTACAAATAATGATCGCTTCGCTTCCGAAGGCGCTATTTATATGTATAGTCAATGCCCTAAGACACCTGACCCCAATCTAACCGACTACTTGTTTCTGAGTAGATCAGTGTAAAGAAACGTCTTAAACAAATTTAACCTTTAACCCATAAGCCGTAAAATTCATTGTGATGACGTTACGTGAGTGATGTATTATGAAATTTTTGAAGCCAATTTGATCTTTAATTAAATTACATGATTACAAATTTCAACCAAAAAGCTGGAATCTCCTTTATACTTTTTTGTTGAATGCGTAAGGCTTTCAGAACTAAAAGGTTTTTTTATGATACCAAGACGTAAGCGGCACGCCTGTCCGCAGCAGTTGCAGTGACACTCAGAGCTTTAACCCTTCAACCGCCGTGGACACTTTAGCGTGTTACATTAACTTGGCTTATGCGCCAATGATGCCTTAAAGCGTCAATGAAACCCTTTAATTTTCAATTGAAATTCATTAAGATATTCAATATTAAGATATTCCTTGTGTTATTGGTATATTCTAGTTAAGTTTTTTTTATAATATAAACGAACAAGTCGTGCACCTGATGGTAAGTTACACGCCTGTCCATAACAGTTGCAGTGCCACTCAGAGCTTTAAATCGCAAGATCTAAGGGGCACTGCCACTGCGCCCGTCACCCTGAGACATAAGTTGACAAGTCCCATGTGTCTGTAATTTCACCAGCACCCTTACCCTAAACCGGAACGCAGTAATACTAACAGTTAAGGTGGTCTTACTTCCCTGGACGAACTCTTTCACAAGCTCTTCTACTATTGGTTGGTAGAGGGTTAGGTGTCTTACGACATCGATTGTACGGTACTTATTAGTCGTTGTAGAATCTGTGAATTAGAGGCTATGTTTTTCCCAGTCGAACACTGAAGTTATATGTTCTTCGATCATAGATATCTACTACGAAGTAGGCATTGTGCTATTTAACAAATCTACCCAGAAACACTCGGTTAATAATTTGGCAAAATTTAAAAAAATCACACAATTTAAACGTTCATGTTTTGTTCGCAGGGATACAAAATTTATTACACGACAGATCCCTCTCAACCCTTGCAGTCGTGGCATTCCCAAATGGTAAGTGTATAATGTTTATGACAAAACAACATTCTTCAGAAACTGAGATTTGGAGAATTCCGTTTAGAAGTGACCTATTTTACACTACCCTTAATATCAAGAAGTAAATTTTCATGTTCAAAGTTCAAAGTAAATTTGTTACTTTGATTTAAATTACTTAGCCATCATTAAGTCTTTGCTAAGTTGGTCAGAGTATTCGATTTCAGATAAGTCTCGTATTATGTTAATACGTAATATATAATTTAATTTAAAAAATATTTATAAAATTATACGAATTATAATCAATTTTTGGAAGAAAACTTAAGTAGAAATTTATTAATAGACATCATTTGTTCGACTACATTGTCGCCATTATCAACCCATTTAATACGTCGCATGACACGGGCACGGGTCTCCTCTCAGGCGAGGATTTAGGTCATAGTCCGCCAGTTTGGCACTGACTGACTTCACACGCTTTCCGAGGATTGTGAACCTTCTCCAACAGAGGCAGTGCAAAGGGGTACATGACCCCGGGCACCACAGCAATGGGGGCGGCGACGTACGCGGCTGAGCCTAACTTGTCAAATTTTTTTACTTAAAATTAAAAAATAAATTCCATTATTTGAGAAAACGATATCCTGAAAAACACAACGAACATAAAAACACAATCGAGCAGAGCCTGCCCGAACGATCTACTTTTGTAATCGTGAAAATAGAGGGGCAGCAAATTTAAGGTTGGCCCCAGGCGGCAGATACCGACGCTACTCCACTGACGTAGGTTTCATCATGATGTTACCCTTCAACGAAAGGCCACTCAATTTCAAATGAAATTACGCTTGTAAATTCCGAGAAACTTGAGGTCCGAGCGCGAATTCGAACCCAGAGGCCGTGGATGCTTAAGCTTTTTTTTATAACATCAAGTGACTGGACGAGCAAGTCGTGCGCCGGATGGTAAGCTCACACGCCTGTCCATAACAGTTACAGTGCCACTCAGAGCTTAAAATTGCAAAGATCTGAGGGGCACTACCACTGCGCCCGTTCACCCTAAGACATAAGTTTACAAGTCCCATGTGCACATTCACCAGCACTCTTACCCTTCAAAACCGGAACACAGTAATGTTGACATTACTGCTTGGCGGGAGAAATAGGTGTAGTGGCAGTACTACCTTGGGCGAACTCTTTCACAAGGAGCTCTACTGCTACTTCACCTTGAGATGTGGTAGGTCAAACTATTAGGCTTCTTAGGCTACCACGGCTTCTTAGGCTACCACAGCGGTTGACTACATTTGCTGGCAAATTCTATGCCACAATATAATAAAACAAAACAACCAAATAATCGTCCTAATTTTTTCGACCACTTTTTCTCTTCGTGTATAGATGGACAACAGCCACCTAACAACGATAAGTGAGCTGACCCCGCATACAGTGTACACCATACGTGTACAGGCGTTCACCTCCGTGGGCCCCGGCCCCATTTCCGCACCTGTACAGGTTAAAACTCAACAAGGTGAGCGCTATTGGTTCTTATCGCTAAAGTTAAACAAGTTTGACCGAAGCTTTGTCATCTAATATTAATAAGCTCAATTCAAAGTCAAAGTCAAATAAATAATCATTTATTCCATATGTAACATTTTTACACTTTAAAAAGTCATTTTTAAACTACAGCTCATTCACTATGCTGACCTACCTGAGAAGAACGAGCAAGAAACTCTGGGGATTGCTCTTTTCAAATAAACTTCAATGCTATGGAATACACTTTGAATCATAATTGTGTGGAATCTAGACTCATGTTGTCTTTCCATACAACTTTATCTAACACATACTCTTAAATTTTGTAATATGACTTGTCAATTAAAATACTTTTAATGTAAGTTTTAAACTTAGGAAATAATAATCTTAATATACCTATGCTCCGGAATCTTATTGTAAAAAGTATACAGTTCCCCATAAGAGAATCGTTTACCTCAGTTAACCAAGACGTGGTACCATAAGTTTGGTCTTAGTTCAAAGGTTAATATTATGAATATCTTCTTTCTTAATGAAATTATGTATATCTTTACGGGCATGCAGAATATTTGAGCAAATGTACTGGATACCACAGTCATGATACCAATTTCCTTAAACTTTTCTCTGAGAAAAACCCGAGAACCTGAACGGTACACAGAAAACTTACGGACATTCCTGTGTTTTATATAAATTGTAATGGACAAATTTTTTTCTAGGTGTTCCTTCTCAGCCATCAAACTTGGTGGCCGTGGAGGCCGGTGAAACATCAGTGACGTTATCATGGCGACGGCCCGCCCATGCAGGAGACAACATTGTCTCGTACGAGTTGTACTGGAACGATACTTATGCCAAGGAACATCATCGGAAGTAAGATAATTTCACTGTATGAAAACATTGTATGAAAACTAATAGTGTTTTAAAACAAATGCACTGAATACATATGGACCTTTTTGTATATAAGATCATTGTATGGACACATGTATTTTATTTAATTGTTCAAAACATCTCGAATCATTCCATTTGTCATTAGGAATTCTTTACAAGTAGGTACATAAAGATAGTATATATAGAAACTTACGAAGTTACTCATCGAGGTACTTTTACAGCTACCAGAAGCTAACGACTTTTTTTTTATTAAATAGGCGGATACCAATAACAGAGACGTATACCCTCAATGGCCTCTACCCAAATACATTGTACTACATTTGGCTGGCAGCGAGGTCGCAGCGTGGCGAGGGGGCTACGACGCCACCCATCGCAGTCCGAACCAAGCAATACGGTATGTGGGACACCGAAGATGTGAGAGTGATGTATCGTGATGAGTGATCTTTGGGAATAAGACTGGTTAACATAATTAAGTATATTGTAAGCACTAAAGAAATGAAAATACAATATTTTACAATGCAATCGTAAGAGAGAAAATAAACAAATAGATTTCGTAGCTATTGTGATGATCGAATAAGGAATTGAACTGTGCATTCATATAATATACTTTTTATATATTAAATATTCCTGTAATAACTGGACTCATTCCCAAAAAGTGCTTAGAGAATCGTGTGAAAGTAAAAACCAATTGTGGGTTTTCCAGGTAACTCCTACTGTAATATTTCACATAAAAGCACCTGCCCGGCACGCTGCCAGTAATACAGCACAAGCACCAAGTTTTATATCACAATATGTGTTTTGTAATTTTGTCGAAACGGTACAGTGTACGCGGCCAAAACGTATTTGAGAAATGCAAACAAAAGTGAACCCAAAAGTACTACTTGTGCGACTCCTTAAAGTTTTCATGCGTACACAGTACCTTAGTAGTAGCTTTATGTTGTGCGTAGGTCAGATTTAAATTTGAGGGTGAAACCTCGTGTGACATTTTTGTTTTTCATTGTTTATTTATTTTGTACTCAACCGCTGACGACACGAATTAAATAAAGATCGCATAATGAATAATTTTAAAGCTTTATATTAAAACCTATTTCGTTCACTTTATCATGTTGCTAAGCTATTTATGTCGCTTTTGGAGATTTTACACAACGCATTTCGTGTCGTAAGCTAAAACATTATAAATTCTTTTCCAACAGGAGAAAGTGTGACAGATGAGACTTAGAGATGTATGGGCGAGCGGATCTTACACACACCACACAAATTTTAAACAAAATGTGCATGCTCGATTGTTTATTTGACGACTTTTGTCGTTCTTTCAACCTTATGTTTTGGGCACCAATTTTGATTTTTGTTTCAATCGCATTCAGTGATTGCATCGGCTAGGTCGGGTTGTGGTTTAACGAACGCGTGGACTGCCACGCGTTCATTTCAGTTACAGGTTCTCGGAATGATCCTTAGGTGATCTCATGGGTCATTGGGTCTTTCTCGGGATGATTCTTACTATTGAGCTTGTGTAGTTCCTGGAGCGCCACCAATGAATGTGACTGCTGTGCCGGTGTCACCGACTGCCATCCGCGTGACCTGGCAACCGCCGCCAGCTGAGCGCGCGAACGGCCGGATCGCTTACTACAAGCTACTTTGCGTGGAATCTGGAAGGGGAGACTCTGAGGCTACTGTTGTGAAACTTAACCAAACCTCTTTCGTACTGGATGAGCTGCGCCGCTGGACGGAATATCGCATTTGGGTGCTTGCGGGGACTAGCGTGGGCGACGGACCCGCCTCCTATCCTGTCACTGTCCGCACGCATGAAGACGGTACGTGTCATGTTCATTCGTTGGATTAAAAGCTCTAAATAAATCTCTTAAAGCTCAGTTTTGTAAAATAAAACAATTTAGAAATACTAGCGACTTTATTATTTTTATAATCATGTTTTATTACTGCGGTTTTTAATTATAATGGAATCACAAAACTGAACTTTAAATGCCAAAGACTAAAATATGATTTATATTGTGATGTAAAAATAGCATTCAATGTCTAAGAAATTCTTTGGCTTCTCAGCAATATTAGAGGAATAAAAAATAATTATTTATAAGAAAACCAACAAGTTCTCGAGAAAATGTTGGTTCGTTTCGTACAGTAATTAGTTTCCTCCTCTTATATTGCTTTTAGATTGATAAAAATAATCATTGAAATGTATAAACATGAAATTACTAACAAAATACTTATTTTATAACACTGGAAGGGTATGGTGAACTGATATAATGCATTTGATAAAATCGTCTAGAACATTTCTCAAAGCATCGACAAAATAATCATAATTAAACTACGATAAAATACAAAATACAATATCAAGTGTTCGTGTTATGGACGGTTTGATCAACTTATCAAATAAATATTGAAATGGTAACAGTCAAGATAATTCACTTGTATAAATTATATTTGAAAATTACTGTTGCCATTTCAAACTTAATACTGAATGATATGCAATTTTTCTCAATTAATACTGGTGGTGGGTTCTATTGTAAATCATCAATAATTTTGTACTATTTCGGAACAATCATGTCATAATTAATATCTTATTGCGCTATAATTACCAAATTACTAATGCCAATTTTCCTTTTTCTTTTTTCTTTTTTGAGAGCATTATAGCAGGATTCTAAACAAGGAGGTCAAATTCTCGTAACAGAACTTTACTATGCTTGCCGATAACTTTCTATGTATATTTTTATAACCACGTCACAATTTGGTTTAAGTTCACTTGTACCGTTGCCTACGGGCGACATAGATTTCCACTCACTATCACATGTAATGATTTCTTGAAGTTTCATTGAATCGTCATAGGTCAAAAGATGGCACTCACTGAAATGCAGTTGATATGCACCTGATATAGTGTCGACGGCACCGTTATTATTGATTTTGGCGCACAATTGTTGATTGAGTATTTAGCGATGGACACAGTTTTGCATGCATTTCTTTACAAACACAGCACCGTTTTTCGTTAATTTCACTGGGCACCAGATAGGTTTAAGTCTTGTTGTACGCAATATCCACCATCCAAGCGTTTGATTTTTATATTGGATTTGCGTAAAGCAACGACAGCACTTTTAGGAAGCACTCAGCACAACTAAAGCGACGACACGAGGTGAGAGAGCGAGTGCGTAACACTACTGAAACAACCGTTTGAGCCAACGCCCAAGATCAACTTATACTAGACGAAATGTTCGAGTTCGTGCCACTTTTTTGTAGTGGTTTGTTTTGCGGGTTCACCCGGTTGTAGGCTCGACACGCACCACGGCCCGAGCGCCGCATTTGAATACCAATACCCTCCCCACACCACACGCGCGCATGCTCTACTACTCACAACTACTTCTCTACTCACTACCTACTCTGACTATACTCTCTATACTATTAGCGGGAATACTGCGGGTCGAAGTGCCTACGACTCCAGAGGATCCATCAAAATTTCACTTTTCTATCAATTCGGTCTTACGGATCCGACGGATCTGATCCGCGACTCTTCGCCTGTATACCCCGACTGCTCAGCTCGGTCTAGACTACGCGCTACTTCTCTGTCTCTATCTCTCTATCTATCTCACACGCTCTATGCTACAACTTCTTGCAGTAGCGACTTCTCTCTTGCCTTTCTTTCTTCTTCTGTATTTATTCTCTATCCAACTTTCGTCGTGCATGCACACTAGATATTGTGACAAATACAAAATACTATTTATGCATAAAAATCGCTATTGCCGTTAAAAACAGGCGGAACCCAAAGAACGCTACGAGATTATTCGGCACCAACTCCTGTAATGTACATCGACGTTTTGATACTGAACAATTTCCTTGAAGACGACAGCAAAAGGACAATGACACTGACACAGTTACTAACATCACAGAAGATACAACACAAGGTACGAAGCACTACACACACTGGAGCAAAACTGGGCGCACATGACAAGACACTAATGAAGCACACACACAAAAGACTGGCGCCGTCGCATTAATCAATACATGTGCGTGTGAGTGCCTTCCCTGCCACAAGGGACAACAACCGGTCTCATAGACGTGCTCTGCCTTTTTCTCTTTAAAAAAATTCAACACCAAAATTCTCTATTTTAAAATTCTATACTGAAACCAAATGAATAGGTAAAATCACAGGGAAATGCTCCAAACATTGCTTTAGAGACACTATTGCCTCATACTAGAAATAAAATTCCCATTCCATTTGTACCGCACACAGAAAAAGGCACTGCACGCGAACCTAGACCGACGCCAGCGTCCCAAGCGGCTTAACCCGAATGCGCCTCCTAAAGAGCTCAAAATACACGAGGAAGTAAAATAAAAGTACCCCCATTTTGCCGACAAGCGTTCTACTCGTAATCTCTCACTTAGTAGTTCCGTTCGCCCTGCAATGTTCGCACAAATTTGTCTTAAATGTATTTGAATGCGTTTTTCTCTTTTTTTCTCTCGTCACTGACTTTGTATGGGCCGCCTGGTAACCCGTACAGCCATAAGGAGTGAGTATAAGTTACTATAGTGCTAGTTTCAATGTGCGTTTGTGCTTGTGCCTTTATGCCTTGTTAGTTCTTCCTAGCATTAATCTGACTAAGAAACAAACTGCAAGTGGTAATCTCTTTACGACGCATGTCTTCGTAGACGTGTTATTGATGGTTTTAAGACTTGGTGTGTCTGTATCTTGTGTAATTTGATACCCCAAAGTCTGACATCCCGGAGCATGAACCCTTGCAGTGTGTGCGATCAACCAACTTAGTTATAGTACTGCTGCTTTTGATTACTAATAGATGACTTACTAAATGTTAACCTCTTTGTAAAGCTTGACGATTTAGTTCCATACGATGTGGATTGGAAGGTAATGGATTTTAATTGGTTTTGGTGATGTGAAAGGGTTTAATGTTATTATCTCAGTGTGTGTTGGTATTCAAATGCCCGATCGAGATGCTGAGAGGCGTATGTGGACACGCGCTGCCGACCGAAGTACTCTATCAGCATTACCGACGGGATTTGCCGACCACACTTCAAACTCATCAACTGATTTAAAGATTTTTTTTATATTGCTTAACTTGAAGACCTTTGATGCCGATGCTTAATTCCAATTTAGGCCCTTGAAAGTTGGAATGCTTAAGGTAGTGTTCTAGCGCGCTCCCATAGTGCTGATAGGGCATTAGGTCGATGAATGCATGGTCCGGTTTAGATGCTCATATTTTGTTTGTGTGCTCACAGTGCCTGGCGAGCCCCAAGACGTGAAGGTCACCGCCATCAACTCCACGTCCATTCATGTGACTTGGAAGCCCCCTCTAGAGAAAGAGAAGAATGGTATCATTAGAGGCTATCACGTTCACGTACAAGAAGTGCGAGAAGAGGTAAGATTTTAGACTCCAAAATATTTATGTATTAGACATCCTTACCACCAACCGAAGGCTAAGACTAAACAATGTAAGTACACGAATTTCGTATATTTAATATTACTTTCTATATACAGGGCAAGGGTCTTCTGTATGACCCTATGCGTTTCAACGTTATGGAAGATACTACTCTGGAGCTGAACATCTCAGGACTGCAGCCAGACTCCCGGTACAACGTACAAGTGGCCGCTCTGACAAGGAAGGGAGACGGAGACCGTAGTTCGCCGGTGTCAGTGAAGACACCCGGTGGTGTGCCAAACCGGCCTACCGTTAACCTTAAGTAAGTTGCGAATATTATTTACTTTAACCAGTTAAAAAGTCTTAATTTTAGGAAACAAATAATGAAACGTCTATTTGTTGCAGGGTTTTGGAGCGTGAACCAGTAGTATCGATAGAATTGGAATGGGCGAAGCCTACACAAACCTATGGAGACTTATTAGGTTACCGGTTGAGATACGGAATCAAAGATCAACCCCTTGACGAAGAAAATTTCTCAGGAACTAAAATTACTTCACACAGAATACATGACTTGGAAAGAGGCGTACAATACGAGTTCAGAGTAGCAGGAAGAAATCATATCGGTATTGGACAAGAAACTATCAAATACTGGTTAACTCCAGAAGGAGCACCAAAGGGGCCGCCAGTAAACGTTACTTATCACTTCCAAACACCAGATATTATCAGCATAAAATGGGAGCCACCTTTAAGAGAGGACCGTAGCGGACAAATAAAAAAATATGACGTGCAATTTTATAAACGCGGAGATCCGTCGTCTCAAATCGAAAAAACGACAGAACAAACGAAGGCTGTATTTACTGGTTTAGAAGAAGATGCTCATTACATATTTAAAGTTCGAGCTTATACTGCTCAGGGACCTGGACCGTATAGCAAGGACGTGACGGCTCATACTGAACGGGACATCGGTAGGGCGCCTATGTCAGTTAAAGCCGTCGCTACTTCGGAATCTGGTGTGGAAGTTTGGTGGGAACCTGTACCTTCAAGAAGGAAAATTATTGGCTACGTCATCTTTTACACTATGGCACCGGTAGAAGATTTGGATGAATGGAGTCAGAAGACTGTTCATGTAACACATTCAGCAGATTTAGAAAATTTGGAAAAATTTGCGGAGTATGCTATTGCCGTAGCAGCGAAAACGAGCGAAGGTCTAGGAAGACTATCAGAAAAAGTTACCGTTAAAGTGAGGCCTGAAGAAGTGCCCTTACACCTCAGAGCTCAAGATGTATCCACCCACTCCATGACTCTGTCATGGTCACCTCCGTTACGCTTAAACCCCATTAGTTATAAGATATCGTACAACGCCATTAAAGAATTTGTAGATTCGCTTGGTATGACACAAACACAAGAAATTCCAAAAAGGGAGATTGTGTTAAAGCATGATAGGACTTCTTTTTCCATAAATGACCTTTCTCCATTCACAACATACAGTGTAAATGTGAGTGCCATACCGAACGATGAGTCATACAGACCACCGACAAAGATAACGGTTACGACGCAGATGGCTGCACCAAAACCTATGGTAAAGCCAGATTTTTACGGCGTTGTTGAAAACGAAGTTCTTGTAATTCTACCTCAAGCTTCTGAAGAATATGGGCCTATTTCCCATTATTACTTAGTCGTAGTTCCTGATGACAAAGCGCATAATCATATGAACCCTGACCAGTTCCTAACCGATGACTTAATTAAAAACAATGCTAGAACAGATGACGAAAATGCTCCTTACATTGCTGCAAAATTCTTACAACGAAACATTTTGTACACATTCCATCTCGGCAACGACGAAATGTATGAAGGCTTCCTGAACCGAAAGTTAAATCCCACCAAGAAATATAGAGTGTTCGTAAGAGCTGTTGTAGATACTCCACAGAAGCACTTATACACGTCAAGTCCATTTTCTGAATATTTGTCTCTAGACATGCGGGAAGCGCCCCCAGGAGAAGAACCGAGCAGGCCTGATCCGAAGGACATGCATGAGAATCCTGATATCACTATTGAGGAGAACAAAAAAGAAGCTGGTATGGTATGGGTTATCGGTCCAATTATTGCAGCTTTAACACTTTCCCTGCTATTGGTATTACTGTTCCTAGCAAAACGACGAAGACAACCCTGTAAAACTCCTGACCAAGCGGCTGTAACTCGTCCATTAATGTCAGCCGACGTTGGATTTGGAGCTCCTTCCGATCCTGTTGAAATGAGAAGACTAAACTTCCAAACACCAGCAATGATCTCACACCCACCAATCCCTATATCCGAACTTGCTGAACATATTGATAGATTAAAAGCCAATGATAACCTCAAATTTTCTCAAGAGTATGAAAGTATTGAACCTGGTCAACAATTTACGTGGGATCATTCTAACATGGAGGTCAACAAACCTAAAAATCGCTACGCTAACGTAATAGCATATGACCACAGTAGAGTGATTTTACAACCAATTGACGGAATACTCGGAAGCGATTATATTAACGCTAACTACTGCGATGGCTATCGGAAACATAACGCCTACGTTGCAACTCAAGGCCCTCTACAGGAGACATTTGCTGATTTCTGGCGAATGTGCTGGGAACTACGAACATCCACAATTGTGATGATGACAAAACTAGAAGAAAGGACCAGAATCAAATGCGACCAGTACTGGCCTAGTCGGGGAAGCGAAACGTATGGCACAATGACAATTACCATCGCCGAAGTTCAGGAACTTGCCACTTATTGCATCCGAACATTCCAAGTTACTAGGAATGGTGGCGCAGAACGTAGAGAGATTAAGCAATTGCAATTTACAGCGTGGCCCGACCATGGTGTACCTGATCATCCAGCTCCATTCTTACAATTCTTGCGACGTGTCCGAGCTTTGAATCCACTGGATGCCGGTCCGCTAGTTGTCCACTGCTCTGCTGGCGTTGGGCGCACAGGTTGCTTCATCGTCATCGACTCGATGCTTGAGAGAGCTAGACACGAACGTACCGTTGACATTTACGGTCACGTTACTTGTTTGCGAGCTCAACGCAACTACATGGTGCAAACTGAGGATCAATACATTTTCATTCACGACGCCTTGCTCGAGGCTGTTGTTTGTGGAGACACAGAGGTGCCAGCTCGAAACCTACACGCACACATTCAAAAGCTAATGCGTATTGATCCTATTGAAAACATCACTGGTATGGAATTGGAGTTCAAGAAGTTGGCTAACATGAAAGCGGACTCCAGTCGCTTTGTTTCTGCCAGTTTACCCAGCAATAAACACAAGAATCGACTTGTCCACATTTTGCCGTATGAATCTACCCGTGTTTGCTTGACACCTCGTGATGGATCTGACTACATTAATGCGTCTTTCATCGACGGGTACAGATACAAATCTGCTTACATTGCAACTCAAGGACCTTTACCGGACACTACGGATGACTTCTGGCGAATGTTGTGGGAACATAATTCCACTATTATTGTGATGTTGACTAAGCTGAAGGAAATGGGCAGGGTAAGGGTCATTTCACTAATGGAAATTAAATAAATTGGTGCGCCCAATCTAATTTATTGTTATCTTTTCAGGAAAAATGTCACCAGTATTGGCCTTCTGATCGCTCTGTGCGCTACCAATGTTTCGTAGTCGACCCAATTGCAGAATACAACATGCCTCAGTACATTTTGAGAGAATTCAAGGTTTGATCTTTTCTCGTAGCTATTATAAAATTTATGATATTGTAAACTCGCTTAATTTTCTCACCCCTGATTAGAAAACTTTTTGGGATTAATTTATAATGAACAAATAGAAAACTTGTTTATTAGAGCCTTATTAGAAACTCCCTGTACTTAATAACTTAGTTCTTAGCTTTCGAACTTTTGGTGCTTATAAATTCAGACTGTTTCAAATATGTATTTAATTAATTTAAAACGTCTTAAATTTGTTTTGGGTAGGTGACCGATGCTCGCGACGGCGCGTCTAGAACGGTTCGTCAGTTCCAATTCACGGACTGGCCTGAACAGGGAGTGCCTAAGAGCGGCGAAGGTTTCATCGACTTCTTGGGACAAGTGCACAAGACCAAGGAGCAATTTGGACAAGATGGACCCATCACCGTTCATTGCAGGTAAGTAGGCTAGAAGAAACAGATTCTATGCTTAACTCGTGTGATTAATTATATTCAAAATACGCCATTAGTCACGAATAACGTTTGTAAAATCGTCAGCTCTACCTCTTGCTCCTTAGGACTATACGACCACTTTACCCCCAACATTTAGTAGACGATCTCATAGAAAATGTTTACAGCAATATACTTTTTATACAACCTAGCTGCAGCAACAGCTATAGTTCAGTTTCAGTAGAGGAATTAACGCGTGTTTTTCATCGTAACAGCGCCGGAGTGGGCCGTACAGGTGTGTTCATTACACTATCGACGGTGCTGGAACGGATGCAGTACGAGGGCGTGGTCGATGTCTTCCAGACAGTGCGCACGCTGCGCACGCAACGCGTCGCTATGGTGCAAACTGAGGTTTGTGCTTATTCGTTTGTTGTCGACCAACGTCAAAAGCGTCGAAACTCCTAACTTTACCTTTATACAGTGTGACAGGTTGAACGAGACAAATATTTACAGAGGCAAACGAGTAGCTGATATCTAATCGGAACATGTAAAAAGAATCGCCCCTAAATGTAAGAAAAAAAATCCTGCCATTTTACAAGTACTAACACTCTCTTTATTTGGGCTACTCTATAAAACAGAACAGCCGAGTGGTAGGAAATTGAACTCCCGCGTGGCAAGCCCTCCTACTTGAAGAGTACTATGGTCTGTTCCAATCCGTTATGAACAAAAAGTAAACAAACCTGTTTGGTTAAAATTCTAAAGCAATCACTCAATAAATCGAATAAGCAACACTTTCACGTATATTTCGAACATTTCGACTTGATATATCATCACTTTTTCCAACAATATTAATTTGAGTAGCATCGTAAAATCGTATTTGAAAAATGGTAGTCCAAAAGTGAGGTTCTTATTCATTTATACTTCCATGACTTGCCTATGGTTGCATAGTGCAGTTAAAAAAAAACTTTCGGTTCAATCAATTAAAGTTTAGTAATCGATTATTAAATCGAACATTTCAATCGCAATCGAACGAGTATCTAAGTCTAAAGATTTGAAGGAGGATTTAAATTTAAATTTTAAATATGCTTAGATAGGTTATGTAACGAAAACCGCTAGTATGACTCAACAATTGAACAAATCGATTCATTCAATTAATTAATCGATTTGTAGTTGGCGTTACAACTGGACATCACTAAACCGTCCATGATCAGGTCAATGACTTGTTTGTTAACATTTTATTCAAAATGGATTGACGAAGTATAAACGATTCAATTTTCTCTTCATTCAAGGCGTGCGCAGAGGTTGGTAAGGGTAGCGGGCATTCGCTGCATGTTCAATCTTGTGCAGAGTATTACAAAATGTTGGAGGCAGTATTTTCCTTAGATAATTTTTTTTACATCTCTTTAAATATTTATCTCGTTCAACCTGTCACCCCGCATATCTGTACTATGTGTGTTTATTATATTAAGCGACTAGTAATTCATTGATTTCATTGTGTTTGCGCCATCTCCGAGTTACTTTATTGTCAAAGGGTGTGTTTTTTTTATAATATCAAGTTACGGGACGAACAAGTCGTGCGCCTGATGGTAAAGTAACGCCTGTCCATATCAGTTGCAGTGTCCTCAGAGCTTTAAATAGCAAAGATCTGAGGGGCACTGCCACGGCGCCCGTCACCCTAAGTCATTACTTGACAAGTCCCATGTGCCTCTAATTTCACCAGCACCTTTAGCCTTCAAAACCGGAATGCAGTAATGCTGACATTACTGCTTGGCAGCAGAAATAGGTGAGGTGGCAGTATTTCTTGCTGCTTGAAAACTATTACTTAAAACGATTTAGGATTTACAATAACAAAAATAATTGAATGAAAAAAATGCCAAGGTCCTCTTTACTTATGAAAATTGTCTTAAAAACAAAACGCAAAAAGTCAAAAATACGAAAAATATAAGAAATGTAACCATCTGGCATCACTGATCTTACGATGATTAAAGTGAGCGTACGACAGTCGAAAGTCCATTACTGTTATCTCGCGTATGTGACTTGGTCATTGTTTGATTCCGACTCATCTGAATAGAATAAAGGTCCTAAATAACACACGATGTCCCCACTACACTGAAGAAGAAGCAGATTTACAGCATATTATTTTCAACTGCCCTAACTTCAACAACCAACGGCAACGGTCTCTTCTTTTCAAAGACATAAGTGACAGCGACTGTTGTATGCAAAATCAAGTCAGTGTTCCCCCCGCGTTCAGGACTTACTATCTAATAATTAGATTTTTATCCCACTCTATAAGTTTATTATAAGTACAGTAGAAAAAATTTTTAGTAGAAAAAGTTTATTTTGTTTATTTATTATTTTAAGGGATTAATTTGAATTTGTTTTAAGTTCTGAGCTTTTGTTTTGTTTTTATTAGTGTTAAAATATTTTCGACTGAAGGACTTTGCATCGAGGTCATGCAATAAATTTAAAAAAAACTATAGTTTAAGTAATACACTACTTAGTTATACTGTGGGCAAGGCATGTTATTCTACGGTAAGACTTAATACGTTTCTATATTTTCAGGACCAGTACGAATTCTGCTACCGCGCAGCGCTGGAGTACCTCGGCTCATTTGACCACTACGCCAACTGACCCTGAGACATGCTCGTCTAAACACTACGTACCGTACTACGTACTTAATTCGCGAAGATATTGCTGATTGAAATTGAGCATAAAATAACCTAAAATTGGCACATCTAGGAAAACAAAGAATTAAGTTTTTTTTCTTGTTCTTTAGTTGTCACATCTTCAATAATAAAATATCAAAAAAAATATTTAAAAAGTATTTTTTTAGGAAACTGGTCAAATGAACTTGAAAAAAAATTATTCACGAAATAAAACTAATATTATATCCTTTCTCGTATCATAGTTGCTTTAAAAAAAAACAGATATTGATATGCAAAGATTTTATACGTAAAACAAAGATAGATATGTTACAAGCGCTTCAAACATGCTAAAATGGTTTACCCCAATTTACAGACTATACAAACAAGACTTGTAAAATGCAAGAAATCACGTACCTATCATACGTAATTATTACTTTAATATTCACCATTCTAATAATTTCTATTCTCGTTCAAATAAATCGTGCGTCCGTATTGTGGCGTTTTAAAGTGACGGTGGCATTCGTAAGCGCTAGTTACGTGTAAATCAATTTATCTACCTTTTTTTTATAAAATCTTTATTGATATATCAGTTAAATAAATTCAATACAATTATATTATGTATAAATTCAATTGATCACATTTCAATCAGCATTGTCTTCGTCATCCTCTTGTTAAAATAACTAAACATTTTACAAAGTACCGCAACGCTTAAATTAATCTGTCGTAGTGATGTTCTCGCGAAAACGACTGACTGTAGCTATTACATTCATTGTTATTGCGGGCTAAAATGTATGAGTGCCTAGGAACGCTACTTATGATCTATATTTACGATGTGACCACTTCTAAAATCATGATTGTGAGTCTAAAAGGGTAATAACTATAATTATATTATTATCCTAGAAATTTAGACTTTATTCGTGCGGATGTAAGTGCTATTTTCGTCTCTAATTCGGAGCAATTAAATGTTAAAGTCCATATAACAGTTGAAATATACTTAGATGCATTTAAAATTACGTACAGAGTTTTGAGAAATTATAAAATAACATAAAATTTATCAGTGTAACGCCATGGGATGTTGATTTGCTAGTGACGATTACCTAGAGAGTGCATAGAGACTTAATATTACGCATGATGATAATCAATTTTATCGTGAACGGGGCGTCAGGTAAGCTGAAAATCATATTTAGACAATGATGCTCAGTTGCCACTCAACGTTATAACTTTTATCCAATATACTTACTAATAAAAATTTTGCTGGCGATCCAAAATTTATTTTAGCCTCCAAAACAAGATTACATCACTTTCACGGCCCAAATCATTGGCTTGGAGTTCGTATAGGTACGCTGTCAGGGCGTCGCTCCAGCGATATCTGGGCACACCAATTGTTCTTCTCAAATAGGCTCTCATCACGTTCCAATTTGGACTCATTCTTTCTAAATGACCGAACCAGTAAAGTCTGTGTGACACCTCCCATCGGTGAAACTAAAGCGCACAGTTTCACCGATGAGATGTTTAGCTGGGCGACAAGCTCTTCTGATTCGACATTAGTGGACTCTCCTGCTACCACCCTCTCTTTAAACTTTACCTAATCTCTCTCTCTCAATCAATCTATGGCATAAAATCACATCAGGTACTTGCGAGTAATTAGCGATTTTTGTACATACCAATTTCGTTTTTCTTTTGAAAATTTGTGGCCTGGCAACAGAGTCATTTGCTCTAAGTATTCAGTACACTGTCCCTGACGCCCTGTGCACATGATAATATAAAATGTATAAATAGTTATTGCAGCTGTAATTAGAAGTTTATTTTTCATATCGGGTGTTAACTATGATAAGTAGTTGTAAATGGTGGTAACTCGTTTCATTGCAATATAATATAAACTAGACGAATCGGCTGTGTCGTGTGAAATTTGTGTCAGTCCTGTGCGTAGTTCATAATTATGTAAATAAACGCCGTTTCCCATTTATTGTAAGTTTTAAGACTTTGAAATATAGCTACTTTACAGAACTATAATGAAAAAAAAAGTCCAAAGACCATGGATTGACTGCTGGCTTTTTAGCCAACAATTTGTTATATCTTGAATATAGAACGCCACGTAGTTGAAGTTTATTCGAAATAAATTTTAAAATATTTCGCCAACCCGAATGTATAGGCAACGTCTATTACGTACATGTGTCACCAAGGTAGCTAAGTTTCAAGGTCTCACTGTATATTTACTTTAGTTGCTAACAATATCTTACCCTAACAATGAGCCTGTCCTTGAAAGGACCAATAATTTCATTTAGTTATGTTGTTCCCGCTCAAGGAATGAGGCTATGAGAAAGAATATAGGCTTGTAAAAATTCGGTTTTGCAACTAGACTTAGATTTTAGTCTATTTTATTAATAATCACCGCTTGCTTTTAGAGGATGATCGTGATTCTATGACATATCTAATTGTAGGTAGAAAAAAAATGTTTCGTGTGGTAACGTTGGCTCCAATATTTAGAAAAACAAATTTCGTCACGTCATTCGTAAAATATAAACATTTTAAAAGTGTTGCGAATAACTAACATTGGACTTGTAACGTAATGATACCAAAAATGAGAGTCCACTCTTTAGGAAGTATTTCCATTATCATTTCTACCTTAAAATTCATTACGTCAGTAATAATTACCTATTTAAAAGTCTTAAGAGCTACTTTGAAAACTAAAATATGTGACTATCGCAATATTTTAAGCTATCTTTAAGTGTAGTAAGTTGTTTAATCATTTACAGTAATCCCTTGCCTAGTATCGTATAAGATTTTTAGGTTTTTCACTCGTTTTATACAATACCTACTCTTATCGGTCTACGTATAAGTTAAAGTTGAGCTTCAAACAATAAATATCATAGGTATTACGATTGCGGTTTTTTGAAATCGTTCGTATGAGTAGATATTTACGCAAAAAATGTTAACTCCTTTTCTTAAAAAAATGTACGGTTTGTATTCGGCCAAACATAATACGTAACCATCGTTTGTAATCGGCCGAATGTTTGTAACTGCCAATGTTTGTATTAGCTGTAATTGAATTAAAAAACAAACAATAAAATACGAAACGTAACGTAGAGGTAATCGAAAATATTGTTAAATTGAAGTTATAGTAAAATTTAATACTCGTTAATAAATCATGCATTTAGCGAGATTCGATGCATTTAAACACGAGTGGGAGCTTTATGTTTGCTTTTTAAAGAACTTAATTTTTTATCGAAACCCGTTTTTTATTTGTTTGTATGTATTTTTTTATTTTGTAGAGCAACTGTTTTTAAATGTACATCACTGTTTTTGAAATCACGTTTTAGGTTTAAGTGACATTTTAACATACCTGTAATCAATATACTGTGTTTACTCCTGTAGTTATTGTACAATATTTTTGTATACGCAATTAATCCTTGCCATAATAAGGTGCTGTAATTCCGGCATTAGTTAGTACAAAAGTACGTCTCACTCATTTCATTGGTTTTTGTCATTTGTGTTGTCTTAACCAATCTCAATTAATTGCGTTTTGTTACGCAAAAGACTGATTTACTAATTTCTATGTGTTTTTAATCTAATTTGATAAATTACTTGTGTGTAGTTAAAACCCTATCCTGTGTTCAGTCGTTTACATAGAATCTGATAGAATCATATTCTATTTTTATCCTGAAAATAACATTGTAATAAAAGGATATCCAGTGATTTTTATTGTGAAAATTAAAATTATGTTGCATTTGATTATGTACAAATTTAATTATAAATTTTATGGTTAAATCCACTTGCCAGTTCGCCTTTTTTAATTTAGTACAAGACCCCGAGGAGTGGCATTATTATGCCAATCCATAGCCAATAAAAATTAAAAAGTATTTAGTGCAATTATGTATGGCGGGCGCAATATGGCGGGATGAGGTGTGCATGTAATTTGTAGGAGTTTGTAGACGATGATTTTTTGTAAAAATTTCCCGCGCTGCGTCTCGGGACACAGTGGATTCGCAAAATTATACATATGTATATGAAGAAATAAATTTATGTGAGACCATACATTTTTATTTAATTGCCTATATATACCCCCCCCCCCCTCCCGCCCCTCTTAAAAAATATCAAAAGAATATAGGTGCCAACTTACCTACCCATTTCATAAACTACACTCCCGAACCATTGACTTACAATTATATGGACGTCGGGTCCGTGCTAAAAAGTGTCCGCACTTGTAAGGCGCTAAAATCGTATACAGAGCGCCAAACTCCGCTTTAGTCATCATTTGTTCGACTGACAGCGCGATACTGCGATGACATTTTTAAATTTCGAATAGGTTGACTTGGGACATTTTTTTCGTAGTTTTTGTATTAGACCCGTCGTCCATTTATTTGTAAGTCAATGTCCCGAACACATAATTCGAGGCACCTTGCATTTTATTCTCATAGCCCTTTGAATAAAATATGTTGTTATCGAAAATTTCCCCGGCTTTACAAATTCAAATTTTCAACAAGGACATAATGGAAATGACGTTATGAAAACCAGTTTCAAAAATTCGTAAAAAAAAAAATAAACCTACAATAAGCTTTTTGATCAATCGATCATTGTTTAACTTTAGGACATTTTATACTGAAAATGCTAGGTAACTTGAATTATGTGTTCGAGAGTATGTAGAAGGCTTATTATGCAACGTCACACGCACATCAAGCTATACACTTTTGGTCGAATATCGCCTCCAGTGCAACGGAAAAAGATCCATCAATTTGTATCTTGATGCGCTGCCGTCTGCACGTAGTGTAAGCCTGAAATAGTAGTATTAGTAACTTCGGATCGTTTCACACGATTTTTTATTTTATTTTCCTAATTAAGCTCAATTTAGATTACGGCTGAATGGAATGGAAGCCTATTTTTGTAAACATAGCAAAACTAGATACGAGCCAAAAAACAAGGACGCGGAAGCGAGAATGCTCGCGCAGTATCTAGTTTGTATGTACGTTACACAAGCGACATAAAGTTAATAATGCCATGTACAATTTCGTTACAAAAATTCGCTGCCATACCTTTCCGCGGTACTGTAAATTAAGTCTTATAATCGCTCAAAACCAAATTCATGCAATTAGTATAGTCAACAAAATGGTTTACGTGAAATAACTCTTGATTTCCCTGGTAATACA